AACCTTGCTCTATCCTGTGCCAACCTTATTGTCTCTGACACACATACCCCCATTACCCCAGGGACTGAATCAATCACATCTAGGTCTTCTTCTCTTGTGCTGTCCCTCCACCCTGCCAAGCTTGATGTTCCTCTCCAAGGACGAGTCCCTTCTTGCAACATACTCGAAGTATGCCAAATGATGCTTCAGAATTCTTGCCTTCAAGGAGCAGCCTGACTTTACCCTCTCCAAAATGAACCTGTTTGTTCTCCTAGTAGTCTATGGTATATTCAATGCTCTTCTCGAGCACCATAGCTCAAAGGCTTCAGTTCTCCTTCTATCATCCCTAGTCATTGTCCTGCTCTCTGACACATAACGAGTAATTGCAAAAATGATGGCCTGGATCAGGTACACCTTAATCTCCAAACTGACATCATTGCTCTTCAGTACTCTGGAGAGGTCCCTGAGAGCAGACTTTGCCAATGTAATACATCTTTTAATTTCCTGGCTGCTGATTCCAAGAGTGTTGATTGTGGAGCCAAGCAAACTAAAGCTGTGAACAATCTCCGTCTCTTCACCATCTGTCATGATGCTGCCAGTCGGCCCAGTGGTAACAATCTTTGTTTTCTTGATGTACAGCTTCAATTCATATTGAAGACTGCAGTCCTTGATCTTCTTCAGCAAGTGCTTCAGGTCCTCCTCAATTGCAACAAGTAGGGTTGTGTCATCAGCATAACATAGATTGTTGATGTGTCTTCCTCCAATCCTGATACCATATTTCTCCTCATAAGAGCCCAGCCGCCTGGATGATCTGTTTTGCATATAGATTGAAAAACTCTGATGATGAATGAGCTCTGGTGACCTAGTGACAAGAAACTGTACTGCAAGGCACTCAGTTCAAGGCCCCCAGCTGCTCCACGGGAGAAGGATGGACTGTCTCCTCCCATACAGTAACTGCCTCTGAAAACCCACCAGCTATAGGTTATTTCCAATTTGAGAGTGCACAACAACAATATGTATATATGTTATAAAATATAATTTTATAACATTTTCACATAGAACTCTAACACCACCACAATACAGAAATTAGAATAATGAGAATGACTGTTGCTTAATGAGTTTTCATTATATATTGTACTTTTTTGTAATCTAGATTGCTAATTTGCTAATGTGTTTTTTAAGCAGATTATAATAAATAATATAAACATGAGTCATATAGCCTCTAGTATTAGGTTAGAATTGAGGTACTTTTGATAACTGGAAAGGAACAAGAAGCAAAATTACTCCATTGAGGGCCTTTTATACAAGATACATGGATTATATTCACACTCTTAAACATAGTAAAAGCACTTTTATATATAAAAAAGCCACTTATAGCCCTAAAATGTGCAATCACGTGGCCGTGTGCTTTGCAAAGGACCCTTTACAAAGAGGGACTCATCAAAATGTTCATCGCCTCCAGCCAAACAATAGATCTGTAAGGTGAACAGTAACACCAGGGAGAAGCTCAGCACTTAAAACACTCATCCACACAGGATCACAAAGGTAGCATTGTCCAAAGATACAGCTAGGACAGTGAGAAGGGCCAGATAGAGGAGTGAATGAAAACAAGAAGCAGCGAGATTGTTTAATACAGTGTGGGGATTGTACTTGATGTGATATATATATATAGATAGACAGATATGAATGGTTGATAAACTTTAAATCATAATTAAGAGTTTAAAAAAATTGTTTATAGTACCTAAAGTTGATTTAACAAGTTTGTTCTTTCCTTTCAGTTGTGCCCTAGTTGTTCACCCCAGTGTAGTATGATCTGGCTTCCTCATAAGTGCTTTTTGGTGTAGTGGTTTGGTTGTTTGGGTTTCTTTTGTTGTTTTTTGGTTGTTTTTTTAAGCTCAGTTAAGTGTCCCGTAAGCCACTGTATTCAGCCCTGAGAGTATGGAATTTTAATAAAACATTAATTTTCTGCTAATGAAAACTTTTGGTAATTTTTTAAGCTATTTTAGATGGAAAGGGGAAAATATCTTCAAGGAGAAAAAAAGTGAGTATTGGCTTTGCAGTCAATTATAAATGTTTTCTAAGATCATTGCTGAGATTTCTGAGAATGCTAATGAATTGCTAGATTTTTTTTGTTATAACATTGTTTTCTGATGCAAGAACAGTGAACAAAAGATAATCAGCAATTTTTCAGTACCAGTGAATTTCTGACGATAACAGCTAGAATCAATAGCTATATGTTAAATAAATTAATTAAAGGGGCTACTTCAAATGATGAAACCACAGTATATTATAGTGAATAAGAATACTGCAGAAATAGTTGTTTTATCATCTGAATTACCATTGGAGCAAATGTTAAGGTGGTAAAAAGTCTTGGGGAAAAGAAAAGGAAATCCAGACACATCTTTTTCCTTAGTAACAATAACAGTCATCCCAAACCATCTTTCACAGTTAAAGGAAAAAACTCAAACTCATTGCCATTTAGTTGGAACAAATTCATAGCTGACCCTCCATTGGGTTTCCAGGGAGCTCCAGTGGCCTAGAGATAAGAAAGGTACTGCAGTCCAAATGGCACACAGGTCAAATCCTCAAGATGCTCCAGTGGAGAAGAATGGGCAGTCTCTTCCCTTGCAATTAACTGCCTTTGAAAGCCTACTGGAGAGTCAATATGGGTTGGTTCTGACTCAACAGCACACAACAACAATTTCACGGGAAGAGATTTGCCCATTTTTTCCTGCTGGAACATTGAAACCACCAGAGGGATGTGCCCATGGAGTTTAGTGGCTCAACTGCCTACAGCCCACATTATCAAAGAAAGGATATAGAAATTCTCAACACTGTAAAAGGACCACGCTTAATAAGATCTCAATTCTTTCCAAACAGGCTCCCAGTAATTTTGCTGACTTTCATTAAATAGAGCAATTTTAAAATCCAGTGTACCAGATGCTTATTACAGGTTATTTCCATTCAAAAAAGCCTTTAGAGAACAGTTGCGAGCTTGGTCCCCTCAGGTATTGGAGTGAGCAAGTTAACATGAAGTCTGACAGACTGAATGAGCCTTTCATCACTCTCTGAGAGGACTCATTGCTTGTAGTCATGGCATCTAAAAACTTATTACCTCAAATCCCAGGCACTTTTGAATCTCTTGGCAACAGAACCATAGTGGAAACCATTTTTTTAGCTCAGAAACAAATGGAAAACTTTAGCTTACATTGCTTTTTGTTAGAAAGTTGTGTTAAAGTCAGTTCTTTAATTGTGAAAAATGCCTCTGTTTTTATCCTTATTCCTGGCCTACTTTCCACTTTGAATTCTTCCTGTCATCTCTATTTTGTGATGGACATATTTCTCCAGCTTTTTAAAGAAAACAGAGCAGTTAAAAGGTAGTACAATGATTAGTATATTTTGTATGTTCTTAGTGTTTATTTTGGCAAAAACATGTAGAAGTTGTAGACATCATGACATAGCTGACATGTCACCCCTGAATGCTTTAGCAGGAATGACCTAAAAATGACAACATTCTTTTACACACTCTGAATCATTTTACTAACAAAGTTGATGCTATATTTTAACATTTATTTAGTTCTGTATTTTAAAGACTTGTGAAAAATTTAATGGGAAATTTCAAATGATATCTCTGAGAAAATATTCCAGCAGCTTAAGTTAACCAACAGATTCTTCTGTTTCGTTCCAGACTGACATCACAAGCTTTGCAATAGACACTATCAATAAGGGGCAAAATGGCAAACAAAAAAGAAAGAAATGGCTACTGCCTTTCCATGATCTTGGGGGTTTTTGGCATGAAAATATAAAATACTTCTTAATGAAGGGGTTGTATGGGTGACCATATACTGCCATATGAATTTTTGTAAAACTTTGTAATCAGTAAACCAGTCAGGAAAGAAAGCTATTTAAGTGGATGATAGTCACTGTGGCAGGGTAGGGGTGGATATGGCGTGTGGACAGTGCCACATACCAGCTAAGATTGCCACATAAAAGTCTGATTATGATGATATCGGAACTTTTTTCCTTGCTATAAGTGTCATATGACATTTTGTTTTTCATAATCAAGATTGTAGGCAGTCGAAAGCTCACTCATTTTTCTTTTAATAAATATTTTTACAAGTTTTGTCAGACAGACAGACAGAATTTGTCATCAGGTGGACACAGTGTCCATCATCTTAATTCATGTAACTTCAGACTGGAAGCTTGGCAGCTCCAATCTCGGTTGTGGTTTTGTTTTGCCTTTTGGTGTTGCATAAATGCTGCTGGAGTTCTTAGAGCAATTATTACTGACGTTTGGAGAAAAAAAATAACACCCAACTTTCTTCAGAAAGTATTTCTTCCCCAGCACAGTCTTATCTTTACAAGCTGATACTTTTAGGTTACTATGCCAACCAAATTTGTTTAGTTACAAATGTGTTTATTAATATGCACTGTGTTGTTCTCTGGCACTGTCCTCTAAAAGGGTTTATTCCTTAAGAAAATGACTCTCAGGGAGCTCTAGTGGCCTAGTGGCAAGAAGCTGCACTGCAATCCCAGAGGCGCGTTCGAATCTACCATATGCTCTGCTGGAGAAGGAGGGGCAATCTCCTCCTGTACCAGTCAGATCCGATTTGTTGGTACACACACACACAAAAAGAAAATTTAAGCAGGGAGAAAAGTGCAATGAATGGGTGGAAATCCAAAATCTCTGTAAATGTTCATTAAAATTAATAATAAAAAATTTTAAAAAGCTTTAAAAAGAGAACATGACTCTCCTGTATGCTTTAGAAAATTATCTCACACTATAGTCTCCATTTTAACTAATTTGTGCTAACATAGGTATATATTTGTGTGTATGTGTGTGGATAATTATTTTTATAATCAGAAATGAAAGAGTGAAACTTTTATTAATAACTCAGTGGGTGTGTTCCCATTCAAAGAAATCAGAAGAAACTCCAAATTTGAAAAAAATGATAGCACTTCATGTTTGTACAGTTATTAAAATTTTAGATTTTAATTTTTTTGTTTGCCACCATCAAGCTAAACTGATAAGATAGGAAAATTATTTATCCCTGGACATTGAATAGTAGAGTAACCTATCTCCTTATTTATTGAAAGCTGTAGATTCTTACATACCTGACCTAGTGGGTAAGGAGTTGTGCTGCCAACCCAAAGACTTGAGATTCAAATCCACTAGTTGTTCCCAGGGAGAAAGGTGAGCAGTTTCATCCTGTGAGATTTATAGCCTCTAAAAGCCTGCTGGAGGGTTATCTCCAGGTTGATTCCAACTCCACAACTATGAGTCAGGTTTCCCCTCCCCTACTATTTAAATTTGCAGTGGAGAAAATTCTAATTGCTCATTTAATATTCCCTTTCTGTTAAAAAAACAACAACAAACAAAACCCCTACCAAAAATCTTTCATTATGTCCTTTTCAGACCACTATTAAATGTTTATCAGAAACCAGGAGAGTAAAGAAAAAAGAAACCAGGAAGTGTGTGTCTGTGTGTTTGTCTATCTCTCTCCTTTGACTGCTATTTATATATACATATATATCCTTTGACTACTCTGCATTTAAGGGATAAAATGCAAGTAGACTTCTATACCTGTGATAAAATGTTTAAGATATACAAATAAATTTACCATGCCCTAGGAGAAGTATTGCTTAGTAAAAATTCATTAGAACCAAAGCTGTCAAAATTTCTAGACCACAGTATAAAATAACAAATAATGTGAGGTGCTTACTAATTTTCACAAGGACTGTTGTGACTGCATAATTTTCTAAGAAATGTTCTTTTGTAGCTTGCTACTGCCATCTGCTGGTTTTCAACTATGCTACTAATTTTCTGTATTATAGCAATGAAAGAGCATTAGGACTTGAAACTTATTAGCCATTCTTTTTTTTTTTTAGCCATTCTTAATGTAACCTTTGTTAAGAGTAAGGCCACATTTTTCATTTTTTTCAAGTTTACTTTATTCTTTGCTTTTAGTAGACAAAGTCTTTCCTCATAGTTAAAAATGCACCGTATCTATGAATTTCTCATTAATTCTTTTTATCCTTTGTCATCTTTTCCTAGTTTAATGGACCGAGAAGTGGCATTGCTTGCAGAAATGGACAAAGTAAAGGCTGAAGCAAGTAAGAGTTATCTTTAAATACAACTTACAAAACGATTAACAAATAATAAAATCATTGCCTTCTACCTCATAACCAAAATATAAATGCCACATGAAGTTTATATACTTAAACTATCTTCAAAAAATTACGCTATACTAGCATGCAAATCTTTCTCAGCAGGATAGATTTATGAGTCTATCTTTAAAGTATTTTTTAATTTTAATATTGAGAATGTGCTCACTGTGTAAGAGAATATAATTGTGTTATCTTCCGTCACATACTCTAGATATCACAGACAGCATCAGCTTTAAGAAAACAAAATGTGCTATAGGTGTCCAGATTTTAATTTTATTTTCCCCTCCAGTGATTAAACACTTTATTTTGTTTTGGGGTGGTTTTTCCCCTGTCTTGTTAAAAGTGCAATTGAGTAAATTTTTTTTCTTCTTTTTGCTCCTAGCAACCCCATGTAACAGAATGAAACCAACCACCCGAGGGATTTTCTAGGCTGTAATATGTACAGTGGTAGATCACTAGGTCTTTTTCCTTCATAGCTGCTGGGTGGGTTTCAATGGCCAGCAATTCTTTCAGCAGGCAACTTGGGTAACAAGGAGTATGTCAAAGAAGGGGCTTTTTGAAAGGTTGTGAAACAAAACCCTTTTTGCCAACAAGTAGATTCCACTTCATAGGAAACCTGTAGAACAGAGTAGAACTGCCTCCTGGGCTTTCCAAGATGACAGTCTTTACAGAAGCAGATTGTCACAGCCTGTTCCCACAGGTTAGGAGCCAAGCAGCTTTAAAACTGTGTCCTTAAGGCACCTCTAGAAGATTGTAATAATCTAAATACTCATTAGAGAACTACTGGTGGATCACACTGGTAAATAGTTGTGGTATAGGCACACAGTAGAATAGTACAGTTGTTATGAACCTCATGGTCTGCTATGACTCATAGGGCCCCAATACACAACAGGATGAAATCCTGCCCAAACCTGTGCTTTTCTTTCAATCTTTGCTATGTTTAAGTCGATTGTTACAGCCTCTTTTCAGTCCATTTCTTTGAGCATCTTCCTCTTTTCCTTCGACCCCCTGTTTCACTGACATCATGCACAATATCTTTCTCTAGGAATTGGCCTATTCTGATAATATGCCCCAAAACAAGTGAGACAAAGTCTTACCATTCTTGTCTCTAAAGACATTTCTGGCTGCATTTTTTCTAAGAGAGATTTGTTTCTTCTTTTTGGCACTCTTTGGAATGTTGTTGTTGTTGTTGTTTGGCACTCTTTGGAATGTTGTTGTTGTTATGTGCTGTTGAGTTGCCTCCAACTCACAGTACAACACCTCTGAAGCCTGCTCTGTCCTGAGCCAGTCTCACTCACTCAGGCACACTTACCTGCCATTGTCCCAGGTACAATATCAATCCATCTCACCTGGGGTCTTAATCTCCTGTGCTCTCCCTCCACCCTTCTAAGCATGATGTCCTTCTCCAAGGACCGCTCCCTCCTGGCCACATGCCCAAAGTATGAGACAGAGTTTCAAAATCCTAACCTACAAGGAGAAACTTGCTTTCACCCTCTCCAAGACAGACCTATTTGTTTTCTTGGCAGTCCATGGTATGTATGTTCATGACTCTTCTCCAGCACCACAACTCAAAGGCATCAATTATTCTTCTGTTATCCTTATTCTTGTCCAGCTCTCTGATGCATAGCAAATAGTTGCGAAGACCATGGCCTGGATCAGGCACACCTTAGTCTGTACACCGACATTGTTGCTTCTCAGTACTCCAGAGTGATCCCTGAGCAGATTTTCCTAGTGCAATTTGTCTTTTTATTTCCTGACTGCTGGTGCTAAGATTGTGGAGGTGAGCAAGCTGTAATTGTTAACAATCTCAATCTCTTCTCCATCCATCATGGTGCTGCCAATTGGCCCAGTGGTGAGAATCTTTGTTTTCTTGATGTTGAGCTTCAATCCGTATTGAAGATTACATTCCTAACCTTCAGTTTTACCAAACAAGACTTGGCACATGCATAATTCAAGCTGTTGATGAGTCTTGCTCCAATCTGATGCCACATTCCTCTTCAAAAAGCCCAGTCATTCCCAAATAATCTGTTCTGCATATAAATTGAAGAGGTATGGATGTATCTCGGATGCACTCCTTCCCTGATCTTGAACCATGCAGTGTTTCCCTGCTCTGTTCTGACCACTACTTCCTGGTCCAAGCTTAGGAGCTCTGGTGGCCTAGGCCATGGGAAAGTAGTGACACTAATTCAAAAGCTGCACCTCTCAGATATACCAAGAACTCTGTGAGAGAAGGATGTAAAATCTCCCCTACTGTGATAGAAAAGAAGCTCTCGTGGTCTAGCCCAGGAGATGTGTTGCTAACCCAAAGATGGTACTACTTTGGTGGTTCCATGGGAGAAAGAAGGGAAATCTCTTGTGTGATTTAAAGCCTCTGAAAAGCCCCTGGAGGTTCAGCTAGGAGTCAATTCCAACTCGACAGAAGTTAGTTTAGTATTCACTTGCTGAAAGCTTTACCTCATCCACATCATTAAAGTGAACTCTCCTTTGAAGAGGCAACTCTTCTTCAGTCAAATCTTGAGGGCCTCATCTTTAGACACTAACTTGGACAATGTTCCACTGGTTTTCACAGGGATTTGAAGGATTCACTATTTCAGAAGTGGGTAGCCACTTCTGCTTCCTAGTCTGTCTTATTCTAGATGCTCTTCTGAAGCCTGTCCATAATGGATGGGTGGCTGCTGGGATTTGAAAAACTGGTAGTTTAACTTCCAGCAGCACAGTGGCATGCCAGCCTCCACTGTACTACACACTGCCTGACAAGTCAAGGAGCAGAACACCACCAGGTAACTTATATAGAATGAAGAAAAGGCTTGTGTCTTAGTGTGGAATGAACTTCAAAGTACATTAAATAAAAAAAGTTAAGATAAAGTAAGGGAGCATATATTCTCATTTATGTGGATGGGGGAAGGGAGATATATAGGTAGTATATCCATAGGCAGTATTTGGAAGTATATTTAAGATACTGGGTTTTTCGTTTTGGTTTTGGTTTTTTCCCCCCATTCATTCATTGTTGTGTTTTTCTCTCTGCCCACCCCTCCCACTCAGTTCACTCTTTTTGAAAAATAAAAGAAAAATTCTCTCATTGTTTTACAATCCCTCCCTTCAGGTCTACTCCACTATGCAGCCTTTGTTCTTGATTCCTATAATGACAAAAATACCTAATCACATATCCCTTTTTAACAGTTTTCTCCCTCATCTGCATCAATACAGTATACATTATTTATCCCATCTTTCTCCGTCTCCCCCCAACCCCCGATATCAGTCCTGTTTTACAACAGTGGCACCATGCAGTATTTGTCCTTTTGTGACTGAGATACTTCACTCAGCATAATATCCTCCAGGGTCACCCATTTTGAATAATATTTCATGAGTTCCTTGTTTTTCTATGTAATATATTATTCCATTGTGTGAATATACCACAGCTTCTCTATCCATTTCTTTGTTGATGGTCACTTAGGTTGTTCCCAACTCCTTGCTGTTGTGAACAAAACCACAATAAACATGAGTGTGCATATATCTCCTTGGGTGGAAGTTATTGTCTCTTTGGGGTTTATTCCCAGTAGTGGAATTTCTGGGTCAGACGGTATCTGTATTTGCAACTTTTTGAGAAAGCGCCATACAGCCTTCCACAGTGGTTGTACCATTTTGCACTCCCACCAACAGTGAATAAGGGTTCCAGTTTCTCTACAGCCTCGCCAGCATTTGTTGCTTGCTGTTCTGTTAAATTTTGCTGTCTGTCTGGGGTGAGATGATATTTCATAGATACTGTTTAACAACGGTTTTTAGGGGAGGAAACTGAAAAAATCAAAAGTAAGATGAACTTTTTACTTTTCCTTATATACTCATTTATTCTAGGTGAACTTTTACTATGTGTGCACAGTTCTGTTTTAATTGATAAACTTTATTACAATTTTTTTTAACCTAGAGGAAGCGGAGTGGCATCCACTTCTAAACCACATGCCTATGGAAACTATGAATCTGGAGAAACTACAATAGTTATAGAAAGGCTTCAGGTCTTTTGTTCATAGAGTCATTATGAGTTGTACTTGACAGCAGTCAACAACAACAGAGGAAAAGATAAAGAAATGCCAAATTACTTATGAGTCTATATGATCCATAAGAAATACTTGTAATTTAACTACTTTCAGAGACCCTCCCACGAGAAGGCAGAAACTGGACTTTTGATATTTTGGTCTCCTGAATGGGTGGGCAGCTAAGCCTTCGACTGTCCAATTACATACTGCAGGGCCTAGACTACCTCTTTGTCCTGTGTAGCAGCAGCTGCATGAGATTCATATTCCTTTTTCCTCTATAGTGGAAATTTTGCTTGGCCGACAAAAGAAAGCTGAACTTCTAAAGAAGATGACTGATGTAGCTGTTCGAATGTCAGAGGAGCAATTGATTGAGCTCAGAGCTGATATAAAGGTAAAACTTCATTGCATTTCTGCTTTTATCTTACCCTGGGGATCTAATCCCACAAATCTCCATTATTTATGGCCATATCTAAGGTATTGAAGTCTTCTCAAACATGGCCTTATCCCAGGTTTTCTTTATCTTTCGGTATACTGCCATCTCTCCTCTTGTCCAAGCTGCAAAAAATTTAGGGAGTTTTTCCTTTTCCTAAGTCAAAATGTAGCCTTCAATATGGATTGCATCTCAACATCAAGAAAATAAAAATTCTTATCACTGGACCAGTAGACAACATCATGATAAGTGGAGAAAAAATTGAAACTGTCAAGAACTTCATCTTACTTGGATCCACAATCAACATCCTTGGTACCAGCAGTCAGGAAATCAGGAAACATAAATGGCACTGGGAAAGTCTGTAGTCAGGGACCTCACCAAATTATTGAGGAAGAATGATATCAGTTTGAGGACTAAGGTACGCCAGATTCAGGTCATGATTTTTTTCAGTCACTTGCTATGCATCTGAGCACTGGACAATGACTAAGAATGACAAAAGAGGCATTGATGGCTTTGAATTGTGGTATTAGAGAAAAGTGCTGAATACCCCATAGATTACCAAAAGAACAAACAGGTATGTCTTGGAGAAGGTGCAGCCAGAGTGCTCCTTGGAGGAAGAGGTGATGAATATTTGTCTCATATACTTTGAGTATGTTGGTGGTGGTGTTTGTTGTTATGTGCTGTCGAGTCACCTGCGATTCAGCGACCCTATGTACAGCAGCCCTAAACTCTGCCCTATCCTGTGCCAATATCACCATCTCCGACACACCTACCCCCATTACCGCAGTCACTGAATCAATCCATCTCATCAAGGAAAGGTCTTCCTCTCCTGTGCTGTCCCTCTTCCCTCCCAAGCATGATGTCCCTCTCCAAGGACTGGTCCCTCCTTACAACATGTCCAAAGTATGTCGGATGAAGCTTCAGAACCGTTGCCTCCAAGGAGCAGCCCAGCTTCACCCTCTCCAGGACAAACCTGTTGGTTTTCCTAGCAGTCCATGGTATATTCAATACTCTTCACCAACACCACAGCTCAAAGGCATCTATTCTCCTTTTATCATCCCTAGTCATTGTCCAGCTCTCTGATGCATAGCAAGTGATTGTAAAGACCATGTCCTTTATCATGCACACCGTAGTCTCCAGACTGACATGTGCACTTCAGCACTTTAGAGAGGTCTCTAACCACAGACTTTCCCATCACAATACATCTTTTCATTTCCTGGCTGCTGGTGCCAAGAGTGTTGACCGTGGATCCAAACAAATGAAAATTGTTAACAATCTCAATCTCTTCACCATCCGTCCTGATGCTGTCAATCGGCCCAGTGGTGAGAATCTTTGTCTTCTTGATATTGAGTCTCAATCCATACTGAAGACTGAAGTCCCTGACCTTCCACAGCAAGTGCTTCAGGTCCTCCTCAGTTTCAGTAAGCAGGGTTGTGTCATCTGCATAATGCAGACTATTGATGCTTCTTCCTCCAGTCCTGATGCCACATTTGTCCTCATATAGCCCATCCTCCTGGATAACCTGTTCTGCATAAAGACTGGAAAGGTATGGAGACAGGATACAGCCCTGGCATACACCCTTCCCAATTTTGAACCATGTAGTGTTTCCCCGTTCTGTCTGACGACTGCCTCCTTGTCCAAGTATAGGTTTCGCAGTAGCACAATCAAATGTTCTTGGATTCCCTTTCTTCTCAGTCAGCCACAGTTTGTTATGATCCACACAGTCAAATAATACCTTTGTGTAATCAATGAAACAAAGATAGACATTCTTCTGGTACTCATTGTTTTTAGTCAAGATCCATCTAACATCAGCTACAATATCCTTATTACCACAGCCCCGTCTAAACCCAGCCTGCACTTCTGGTAGTTCTATGTTGATGTGCTGTTCTAGTCGTTTTTGGATAATCTTCAGCAAAATCTTGCTTGCATGTGACATTAATGATGTTGTTGTTGTTGTTGTTATATGCCGTCAAGTCGTTTGCGACTCATAGCAACCCTATGTACAACAGCCCTAAACCCTGCTCTATCCTGTGCCAATCGCATTGCCTCTGACACACCCATCCCGATTACCCCAGTCACTGAATCAATCCACCTCATAGAGGGTCTTCCCCTCCTGCGCTGTCCCTCTACTCTACCCAGCATGATGTCCCTCTCCAAAGACCTGTCTCTCCTTGCAACATGTCCAAAGTATGTCAGACGAAGCCCCAGAATCTTTGCCTCCAAAGAGTAGCCTGATTTAACCCTCTCTAGGATGAATCTGTTTTCTTGGCAGTCCATGGTACATTCAGTACTCTTCTCCAGCACCACAGCTCAAAGGCGTCAATTCTCCTTCTGTCCTCCCTAGTCATTGTCCAGCTCTCTGATGCATAACAAGTGATTGCAAAGCCTATGGCCTGTATCAGGCGCACCTTCATCTCCAAAGAGACACCATTGCTCTTGAGTCCTTTAGAGAGGTCCCTAACAGCCGACTTTCCCATCGCAATACGTTTTTTGCTTTCCTGGCTGCTGGTGCCAAGAGTGTTGACTGTGGAGCTGAGCAAACTGAAGCTGTGAACAATCTCAATCTCTTCACCATCCATCCTGATGCTGTTGTTAATTTCCATACTCTGTCAGGTCATCTTTCTTTGGAATGGGAACAAATATAGATCTCTCCCAGTCAGTTGGCCAAGTGGTTGTTCTCCAAATTTCTTGGCACAACTTGGTGAGCACATCTAGGGCAACATCTGTTAGTTGAAATATGCCAATTGGTACACCATCAATTCCTGAAGCCTATTCTTAGCCAATTCTTTCAAAGCAGTCTGAACTTCTTTCCTCATCACGATCGGCTCTTGCTCATATGTTGTTTCATTAAATTCTTCTGTGTCTGCCAATTCCTTTTAGTATAATGACTCTATATATTCTTTCCATCTTCTTTTAATACTTGCAGGATCACTCAGTATTCAGCCCAAAGCATCCTTAAGCATTGCAACTCAAGACTTGAATTTCCTCTTCAGTTCCTTGAGCTTAAATGCTGAGCGAGTTCCGCCCCTTTGATTTTCTGACTCCAGCTCTTTGCACATTTCATTATAGTACTTTACTTTGTCTTGTCACGCAGCCTTTTGAAATCTCTTGTTCAGCTCCTTAATGTCTTGATTTCTTCCTTCTGCTCTGGCTTCTCAGTGCTCCAGTACAATATTCAGAGTCTCTTCTGACATCCATTTTGGCCTTTTCCTCCTCCTCCGTCTTTACAGTGACCTTTTGCACTCTTCCTGGATGATATTCTTGATATCTTCCTGTAACTCATGGTCTTCTTTCATTAGTGTTCAAGGCCTCAAACCTGTTCCTGAGAGGGTTCCTGAGCATGTTGGTAGGACAAGTTATTCCTTGGAGAGGGGCCCATGCTTGGGAAGGTAAAAGGGCAGCAGAGGAGGGGAACATCCTCAACCAGGTGGGGTGACACAGTGACTGCAGCAATAGGCTTGAGGATGTCAGACATTGTTAAGATGGCACAGGATAGGACAGGGTTCAGATCTGTTGTTCATAGGGCTGCTATGAGTCATACTTGACTCGGTGGTACCTAACAAGTCAGAGTGTCATTTTAGTAGACTTTACCCCTTTGACCTCCTAATAAATCTCAGATCTGACTTTATCTTCACCATTATGGTACCACTACCATGATCACTTGCTTCAACTTCTTTAATAGTGTCTTAACTGGTTTTGCCTGTCTTATTTGTCTTACCCCCTCTCTCCATACTCTTCATATCTGTGCCTCATGCTACACTGACCTGCTTAAAACTTCCCATTGCTTTTAGGATAAAGACAATAGTCCTAAACATGAGCCATCAGTCTCTGCATGGTCTGACTTTAAAGGACCACCATCCTTGGTTCTCACTAGGCCCTCTTTGGTCCCTGTACTCAAATCACACTAGATCTTCCCTTCTACAATAGTTTCCTCCTGTTGTTAAGTGCTGTTGAGTTAAGTACAACTCATAGCAACTCAATAAACAAGGGATATGAACTGTGTCTGTCCTGTTCTGCGCCTTTGTCATCATCCTCGACATACTTGAGTCCATTGCTGCAGACAATGTATCATATCATTTAGGGCCCTCCTTTCCTTTGTTGGCCCTGCATTTTTCTAAGCACACAGTATCCTTCTCCAAGGAATAGCCCCTCCTAACAACAGATCCAAAATTTGTGAGACAAAGCTTCCCCATCTTTGCCTTCAAGGCACACTCTAGTACTTTCTCCAAGACAAATCCGTTTGTTCTTTTGACAGTTCATGGGATATTCAGCACTCTTCTCCAACACCACAACTAAATTAATCAATCTCCTGTCATCCTTATTTATTGTCTGGCTCTCAGATGCTTAGCAGGTGATTAGAAAGACTGTGGTTTCAATCAGGCATACCTTAGTCTTTAAACTGGCTTCCTTGCTCTTCAGGATTTTAGAGAAGTTCTTGACAGCAGTTTCCTGATCTCCTGATGGCTGGTGCTAAGGTTGTTGACTGAGGATCCAAGCAAAATGAAATCATAAACAATTTTCAGTTTGTCTCCATCTGTCATGATGTTGCCTGTTGGCCTAGTGCTGAGGTGTTTTTTTTTTACATATTTTTTCCTACATAATTTTTTTAGGCCTAAATCTCCTGGTTTATTGTATATTTTTGTTTTCTTGATGTTGAGATGTAATCTGTACTGAAGTCCTTGATCTCTGCAGCAAGCACTTCAGGTCCTTCTTGGTTTCAAGCAAACAAGTTTGTGTCATCTGCATAACACAGTTATTGATGAGTCTTCCTCCAGTCGTGATGCCACACTCTTCTTCATAAAGTCCAGCTTCTTAATGATTTACTCAGCATATGGATTGAATAGGTATAGAGAGAAGATACTACCCTGACACACACCTTTCCCAATTTTAAACCATACAGGGTTCCTTTGCTCTTTTTGAACAACAACTTCTTGATCTAGGTATAGATTGCATGTAAGTATAATTAGGATATGCCTCCAGAAACGATGAACTTTCATAAATGTCAGTAGTTATAGAAAGGCTTCAGGCCTTTTGTTCATAGGGTCATTATGAGTCATGCTCAACTCGAAGGCAAACAACAACAACAACAGCATAATTTAAGATACTCTTTAATTATTCCTCCTGTTAGGGAGCCATTAGATGTGCTTTTCCCATCTGTCCAAAAAGCAGCACAGTCACTTTTGTCCTACTCATGCTTCCTGACTTTCGTATTATCTGCTTTGATAGCATATTTATAAATTTATAATTATTTCATTATTTAAATTATCTGTATTCTTCACTAATTTGTCAACTTCAAAATGTCAAAATGTCAGGAGCTGCTGTACCTGAGACAGTGTGTTCACACATATTAAGTGTTTGGAGAGAATAGTTGGTTAATTCGTTCAGATTTTATAAAGAAAAAAGCAAATTGGTTAAGATGTTGTTCATATTAAATCAGTTTATTAGGATTACTCCAGTTCAACATGCATACCTCTTCAATTCTTATGTGAAAACTGTTTTGTAAAGAGTACCTAGGTGACAAATGGCTGAACACTCTGATCCTAACTGTCCTCAACTACTAAGTGGTTTTAATCTGCCCTGTGGCACCTCAGAAGAAAAGCCTAATGTCTATTTCTGAAAGAATACAGCTGTTAAAAATAGAGAACCGGGAACTCTGATGGCCTAGTGGCAAGAAGCTGCACTGCAATCCTGAAGGCCTACAGTTTGAATCCATTACCTGTACCAAACGGATCCGATTTGACAGTAATGAACAAGAAAAGGAAGGGGGGCCAGGAAATAGAAAACAGTGTTTTTGCGACTAAGCATGGGAGCTTGACAAAGTTTGAAATATGCATAAGTAGTTGTGGACACTGTTTTAAACAGTCAGTTATGTGAATGAGGGAAGTTGGAATCTCTGTTTCCAACTTCTTTTTATTTTTGAACATGTATGATTTATGGATATAATAAGAGCAGCACTTGGTGCAGAGGTTTTACAACACGTTTGTAAAATAAAAATTATACAGGAAAAAAAAATACCTCAAAACAGCTTTAATCATCTGTTGTTGTTGTTGTTGTTGTTATGTGCCGTCGAGTCGCTTACGACTCAATAGCTTGATCATCTAAAACCTGTAAATACCTTTGTTCCCACTCTGACCCAATCTTTTATACAAACCTATGTAGTGTTTCTGTTCTCACTCCTTCACTGTAGAATATCTTTGAGTCAAATAGCCAAACAATGAAAATTTTAAATTACCACCTTATGATTAACTCAAATTAATAAATTTTTAGAAAGTCTTCCACACATTGATGCCAGTGAGCCTCGTTCAGCTGGGAGAACCGGAAACCCCTTGCAATTAGATGAGAATTCTGTCTCTCATAGGCTTCATCTGTTCCACTTCCCACGTGGCTGAAAAGCTGCTAGAAATATTTCTGCAGGCTGACTAAGGATCTGTTTCACTCCACATTTTCAGTGTACATAAGTGGGTGCTGTGCAATTTAAATGTCTTATTTCCAGATAATTTTATTTCCGTCATTCTTGTTATGTCTTTGGCTCAACAAACCCTAGAATTTGTTTCAGAACTAATCTAAGGCTGATATTACATGTCTCAAGGCTTTGTTACAAAAGGTTCATATGATTTCCCAAGCCACAGTATATTCTGAAACTCTAGGGTTTACAAGCCCAAAGATTATTTTTACCTTTCCTTTCCCCTTCAGTGCTTCTAGATGTATCTTGAGAACTCTGATGTGCTAGATTCTACTTGAAAATCATAAGTGAGATTAGACCACTCCCACCCCCTGTTAAGAGGATTACTTTAAGCAGTTCAATTTTTCTAAATTATATCCAGACCTTTTTTTAATCATCTCTTCTTCATTTGAAAAAATTATTCTAGACTCATTAGACATTTGTTCTTAACATATTTTCAGCCCCACAAATTCTAGAATATAGTGAGTTTTGGCCCAGGGGATTAATTACTTCTAAACTCAGTTTAAAAGTATTAAATTATATGCAGCATAAACTCTTATTTGCGAAGATTGAATGATTTTCCATCTCAAGAAATTGTTCCTATTTTAAGAAATAACAAGACCTAGTTTCTAAAGAGTGGGTTTCTTAAGGAAATAAACCTACTCTTAACACCAAATGTCTATCTGAATGGGCTTTTTTTGCTGTCTCTGCCTCTCTGTAAAATGGTACAATGTAAAAATAGGCAACAGTGGAAAGACGGGCTTTTACTATAAATTCTTCCTCATTCCTGACTATGATATGGCATTTGATAAATAGCTTTTAAATAGGCCTACCTTTATAGTCTTATGAAGTGAGTTAATTTGGTCAAATAGGTACTGCTTGGTTTAACTAATGTTAATGTTTACTAAGTATGACATTTTAGTAAACCTTGAAGCAAAATAAAGAAGATAATTGAAAATAATTTTGTTTCATCTGTGCATAGAGCAAGCTGCAGGGTCCACATAAAATGTTTGTCTAACCTGGTGACTTTTCTTTGCCTTTCTTCCAGCATTTTGTTAGTGAACGTAAATATGATGAGGATCTGGGACGAGTAGCACGGTTTACCTGTGATGTAGAAACCCTAAAGAAGAGCATTGATTCATTTGGACAAGGTGAGGCAGTGTGAGCTGGGTGTTAAGAGGGTGAGGAGAAGCCTTCCCCACTAAGGAGAGAGTGACGTACTGATCGGGTTGCTTTTCCAGTGACTGTTCTTCAGTGACTTTTATATCTTTGTTTGTTTGATTTTATGATAATCAACCCTGAGATACATACAAAATCCATGGATGCAGATGATTTGGGTTCCAGTGAATATTTCCTAGCTCCCTAAATATAAAATAGCGCTGGTGGCATAGTTTATAAACATGCCATATTGTTAACTGAACAGTCATATCCACCAGTGGTTCAAATGCACCAGTGGCTTTGAGGGAGAAAGATGGACCATTTCCTCCCATAAAGGTTTATAGCCCTGGAAAGCTGGGGTGGGTTGCTGGGAGTCCGAATCAGCTTGACAGCAGTGGGCTTTAAATAGGATTTTTCCCCCCTTTACGGTTTTTCACTGCATTGAGAGGGCTGTGATACACAGTGTGAGGAGCATGAGAATCTGAAATCCACCCAGACTTAAATCCTTGACTCTACACTAACCTCTGGTAACATCATTTTATTTAAAAACAGAGAAAAGTCATACCTATTTTGTTCGACATATACCCAGTAAGCGAGTTGCTGAGTTGATTCTAACCCATGGTTAACCTAGCGTGTGTCAGGCTAGAACTGTGTTCTGGAGGGCTGGTCTTCAGAAGCAGAAAGTCAGGCTTTTCTTCTGAGGCACCTCTGGGGAAATACAAACCTCCTTCCTTTTTGTTAGCAATCAAGCACATTAACTGCTACCCAGGGACTACTGCCTGGAACGTAAGTGCTTAAGTAATAGCTTTAAATGGAGAAAATGGTTGCTTCTTAAGTAAAAATTTGACACATCAGTCAAGTCCTGAACTTGTTCTGTCTCAGCATAAAAGTGAAATAATGAGTCTAGGGTAGTAACTATGAACATCATTAGCCAAGACTTAAAGCCAAGAGAAAAAGTCTGGAAGAGACTTTTAAACCATTTATTTCTGAAAATATGATTACTTCCCCACCTCCAAGTTAGACTGGCATTTTGAATTGGGAATCTGTTTTGCAGAAAGAAATTTGAGGAAGATAAATGTTTATTGAATAAGCTAGTTCTATTTATATTTAGCTAATCTTCATTATTTATACCTTGTGTCATTCAGATATCTTAAAAAGAATTTGCGAAGATTTCTAAAATCTGTCCTTTAGAATATTCCTTCACAGGAAACTGAACATATGGTCCATACTGTAGTCTCAAGCTTTGTCAGCCGAGCTGCTAGAGCTATAGCCAAGGTTCAGATAGTAGAAAATGCCAGGAAGTCATTAGTGCATGGGCGGGTGGCTATCTTTCTCTTAAAATTGTTCTCCTATCTCTAGAATTCATTTACCAAACAGTGGGGATTTGGGAGAAGTTGAAGAAGAAAGAGCCCGATTACCCCTTTTATATGTCTCTTTCATGTTGTTGAGGGTATGTGATGGTAGTTTAAAAGAAATGTAGTATTCTTAAACAAATATTTTGGATAAAGACTTCTTTGACTATGCTGACACACAGTTCTTTATCTTAAATTGCTCTTCTTTTTTTTTTAAATTGCTCTTTATGAAGTGGAGGAAGAGGAGAAACCTTACCCTTCATGCCCTTTCATCATATGACCACATACTCTTCATATTTCTGTTTCAGTGTCACATCCAAAGAACAGCTATTCAACAAGATCCCGGTGTAGTTCTGTTACATCTGCATCTTTGAGCAACCCAAGTGATGCTTCTGCTGCTTCCTCTTCCACCTGTGCCTCTGCTCCCAGCCTTACAAGTACTAATAAGAAAATCTCTGCACCCGGAGAGACTCCTGCAGCCATAACCCACTCCAGTGGCCGGCCTTCCCAGCCTCCTCGGGAGGTAAGCTAGCTTCCACATAAACGAGTTAGCAAGAAAAGCCACCAGAGTGTCAGAATTTAAATGCTAATAGCTCAGCCTATTACCTGCTTCCCTTTAGTCTCATCTCACACCTCCTTTGAATTCCTCCAGCTCCACTTACTTCCTGAGAAAGCATTTGGTGTGTATGTTCCAAACCACCAGCCAGTTTAGAATTCCTGTTGCTAAGCGCTGCTGACTTTCTTATTTTGGCAGTGATTCTAGTTGCAGTAGGTAGTATTGCCTGGTAATTAGTCACAGTGGGAGTCATGCACCCATCTCAGGGTAGACAAGCACCACAGTGGCAGGCTCACTAGAGTGCATCTGAAAGCAGCAACTCCCTAGAAGCAAAGCGTGGACTATATCAGGGAGAGAATGTGAGCAAGCAAGAAAGTTGAAGAGTAATCTTTAGTTTCTGGTTTGAAGAAAAAAATCCAACACCATAGCACTCCAAAGCAATGCTGTCAGTAATTCTTCACACTCACTACTATAGCATTGGAATTGGGGGACAAAAATAAAATCCCACACCATCATCTTTTTGGGTTGTAATATTAAAGATGCACTAAACGTCAGTGAGATTTAAGTCTTATAATATTTAGCAGAGTAGGTGCTTATTTTATTATTACAAATGTGCATGATCTCTCCAAATGGTTTATGATCTGCCAAGTTCAAGCATATGATACTTGCCTAATTGAGGGCTTGCAGCAACATTGAACATGTTTTCTTTGTTCTTCGCCTTTTCTTAGCTTTTTTTTAAGCCCAGCTAAAGACGGGTAAACTCTTTCCATGAAGTTCAACTAGCAGGGAAGGAATTAGCAGTTCTGCTGCAAGATTGGATTAGCTGACAAATTTGTATCTGTGAATCTTGAGTTTCAAGCATCGTCTACCACAGTTATGCTCTCAGAACACTTCTATAAATGAAACTGAAACAAATTAGGTATCTGCTTTGAGCATTGTATTCTTTTGTCCTTAGGTATTTCCGGGGAACAGACGAGGAGGACAAGGCTATAGACCACAAGGCCAAAAGTCCAGTGAAACCACAAGCCAAGGGAGACATGACGGTGTAGGTCGTTACAGAAATAGCTCATGGTATTCATCTGCTCCCAAGTACCAGAATGCTCCAGCCCAGGCACCAGGAAGCACTGAATGGGGTCAGGTTCATGCTTCAGGGACCAATGGAACTGGAGCCAGCGTGGAGCCCAGCCCGCCCAAACCCTCTTTCAAAAAGGGGCTCCCCCAGCGCAAACCCAGGACCTCTCAGGCTGAAGCTGTGAACTCTTAAGGGAGATCTTAGCTGACTTCTCATCTCTCTTCCTCATAACTCAACTTGATAACTGGACTTTAGGAAACATTCTTAGATTTAATAACAAAATGAAGTTTATGCATATCACTTTTTGTGCCATTCTAAATATTTTTTAGTCTTTTCTCATCATTTCTTCTTTACCCTTTTTGGAAGGGAAACTTTTTTTTCTTTACTTTTCTCAGTGATATGGATTCTGATTGACGATTTCCACTAGGAACAGAGTCAACAGTTGCCAGGTTCCCCGAGGATAAGCACGTCCCAGCGCATCAGACCTTTCAGTTGCCCAAGGGCCTGACTCAGCAGCCCCCATTGTTAAGGCTGTCACCGGAACAGGTGGATCAGAGCTAAACCTGTTGCCTTTCCAGTGTAAGCAGAAGCCAGAAAGCCCTGCCAGGTTCCCTCCAAACAACAATTTAGCCAGGAGAGGAAATAAGGGAGCAATATTCTGGATTAGCCAGAGAAGGGGAAATTTAATTGGTGAAAAGTGGGAACTGTAGGAGGCATTTGAGAATCTGCCTCTGCTCCAAGAGAAGGTGCTGACGTTTGACCTTCAAATCAAGCTCCAGTCTCCCACTTGGCACTGTAGCCGAACCTGCAGTTTCTTCAAAATGTTCAAAGCTATGTTTTCTGTTACCTTAGACCACAAACTTATGGGAAGGTAGCATTTCATTAAAGCAAAAAAGATGTTTCTGTTTCAATGTTTGGAATTTTTTCCCCCTTCTCCTTTCCTGAACCTTTTCTGATCCTGAACTAAACTTATAGCAATATAATGAGTGTTAAATTTAAGGTGTTACCCATCAAAAAAATTCCTGCAGTCAGTCTTTACAGCTGAATAAATAAAAACAACAACATAAATCTTCCCACATTTGTTTCACAGAAGCAAGTGATTCATTTCATTATCTCTCTTTTCTCTGGCTTCATGGGGTAGAAGTCACTTGGACAGCTTGTTCTGGGCTTAAATTAGGGTGTCTGATTCCCAAATCATTTGTCTGCTTCTTAGCTTCAAAACCAAATTAAAATGTGAAAGCCAAGATGAGCAAATGCAGCTGTTCTTGTAGGAGAGACGATTCATAGGCTAAAGAATGGTGATTTTGCAGAGGTCTGCTTTCCAGTTTAGAAAAAACACAACTGTAACAGCTCTCCCAGGCAACTAGCACTTGTATTGATACCCCTCTACCCCATCCTTGTCCCTTGAACAGGAGGAGTGAATGTAACAGTGTCATTGAGCTCCTGTAGCATTGGTATCAGACCTCTGAGCCCCACTTAGACTCACCCGCACCTTCTGTGATTTAATAAAGCAAAGCTTTTTATTTTTTTCCCCCTTTCCTCCAGCATGTGTTCTCCCAACTCTGAAACCCAGACTCTAAGTAGCAGCCGTGCAGAACCTAGCTGCCTCAGGGCTTCCCCTGGCTCTTTAGCTGAAGCTGAGCTACTGGGGTTCAGGTTGGTTAAACACAGTGTATGAGAGTATGTGCATGGGGTGGTATGTATGTGTGATTCCATAATAAAAAAGGTCCTCATGGAGAACTTGGGAGCCCTTTTTCCAAGGTGCTGTTTTTGGGAATTCATCCAACAAAACATCAGTCTCCTGAGTGTCAGGGAAACGTTCTGCTTTCCTGATTAATTACTACCCAATACGTTATTGGAAATCCAGAGAAAGAAACAACCATGAAGGATTATGAAGTCAAGACTATTTAACACACTCAGACACATGGGAAGCTACGTTTGTCAAAAGATTTGGAGGGGGATTTTTCCTATGACCTTAACTTTAAATTCTAAAGTCTTTGCATTTTGTTTTTAATTTTTAAAACTGGAGAAAACAAAATCAAATCCTACCTCATTGCTCTAAAGGTGAAACTAACTCAGAGCTGATCCTTCGTTCTGTTTCCAAGGCTGTAAATCCCGTCCATCTTACTTCCTCAGAACTGCTGGTGGAGTCAAGCTGCTAGAGAGGTACGGTCTTCAGGTTAGCAGCCCACCTCCATATGGTCAGGATAGAGTTTCAAATACCAGATAATACAGAAATGTAAAAGAGGACATTTCCCCCCTTCCCATCCCACTCTTCAGAAACAACTACTTTTTTAATAGTTTGTCATATATGCTTCTAGATCATTTTCAAGCCATTTATATGCATTACATGTGAATATATAGGTTTTTAAACTTCGTGTTGTTTTATACTGCATATACATACATGTATATGTCTTGGAGGAGGAACAACCAGGATGCGTCTTTGAAGTGAGGATGGTGAAACGTCATCTCACATACTTTAGGCATGTTGTGGGGAGAAGCCAGTCCTTGGAAGAAGACATCATGCTGGGAAAGGTATAGGGCCAGTAAAAGAACAATCTTCAAGGAGATGGATTGATACAGTGATTATAACCATGGGCTCGAGCATGGCAGAGTGGTGAGGATGGCATAGGAGAGGGGATGGTTCAGTTCTGCTTATAGGGTTGATAATGAGTGGTAACTGACTTGACAGGCACCTAACAACGGATATATACATCTCACACTGTAAACTTTCTGTAGTTTGGAGTTACACTGGGTTTTTAATTAATATCTCCAAACCCTTACTCATTTAGAATCTTAGAATGTAGATACTTCTAAACTTGCTGATGGATTAAACTCTGAACTGAAAAGTTGATTTAAGTTTTAATCTTGCATCTTGTTCTTTGCCCCACTTAATAGCTGCAGACTTTCCAAAAGTCAGGAGGTTCCATACTCTCGGTGGCTTCTGCTGAGGATTGAAGCCTACTTTGCTTCCTTCGTCCTCCTTCTACAGAGAAATGTCTTCCTCTCCCCGAAGGTGGAAATAGGACTAGCGTTTCAAGTTGTTTAGCTCATATTTATGTGCCCCTTGGGAGGTAAAATTTTAAATTGACATGATTTTATTATCAGCATCAGATATTTCCTGAGCCCCTAATTTATGGTAATTTTAAAAAACCTGACTTTTTAAAAATTTAATACTGACTAAAAAGAAAGTACATTATGGAGAGTGAAAATCTTCCCTCTCCAGAAGAAATTGCTGATAACATTTCTTGTACATCTTTTTAGATATTTTCTAAACTCAGTTAAGCACTTCTTTTCTCATACAAGGAAAATAGATAATCTAACACAGCTTTCCCCCCCTTTATTTTCTCTCTTTAGAATTAGGGGTTTTTTTTGCTTTAAAAAAGGAATATATACAAATTTTTTAAAAAAAAAACAACAACCCTTCAAAATTGTTCAAAAGGATATATGATGAGAAGTAGGCCTCCAACCCACCCTGGGCCCTTTACACCTTCCTCAAAGACATGTATTGTTAAATTATTTCAAAAATTTTCTAGATTCAGCCAACTCAACTAGCTGTTGTTGCGTATGAACCAACTCAAAACTAACACATTGGGTTTCCAAGCCTTTAAACTGCCCATCTTTCTCTTTCAGCTGCTGGTGGATTCAGACCTCCAGACAGGTACCACCTTTGGTTTTGCAGTGTAACTTCCTACCGACAAACCCACCAGAACATGTATTCTCTCTACTAGCACAAGTATATCACAGGAAAGTAGATCTTAGATCTCTGTCCATGTCAATTAGTACAAAAATCTTTTTTTTATGGTTGCACAGCATTCCAGTGTATACATTGATCATCACTATTTTAGCCAGACTAACTGAAAAAGATCCATATTAGTTCCCATTCAAAAAAAAATCCAGAAAAAAATGTGGAAATTATAGGACACTATCATTAATCTCATGTGTGAGTAAAATCTTGCTCAAATTATTAAAAAATGGCTGGTACCATACATCAGTAGGGAACTGCCAGAAATTAAAGATGGATTCAGAAGAGGCCACGGAACCAGATTGTTGGTGTCAGATGGGTCTTGGCTGAAAGCAAAGAATACCAGAGAGATGTTTACTTGTATTTTATTGCCTATGCAAAAGTACTTGACTTTATGGATCGTAACAGATTTTATGGCTAACATTGAGATGAATGAGAATCCCAGTACACTTAATTGTGTTCTTGAAAAACATCTAGATAGACCAAGAAGCAATTGTCCAAACAGAGCAAAAGGACACTGATTCATGGTTTAAAATCAGGAGCAATGTGTGTCAAGGTTGTGTCCTTTCTCTATACCTATTCATTCTGTATGCTAAGCAAATAATTTTAAAAACTGAGTTATATGAAGACACATCTATAACATGTATTTTGCAAATGACACAACCTTGCTGCAAAAAGTGAAAAAGGCTTGAAGCACTTAGTGAAGACCACTAAATTATAGCCTTCACTGTGGATTACATCTCACATTGAAAAAACAAAAACTCTACACTAGATCAATAGGCAAGATCATGATAGATGGAGAAAAGATTGACGTTGTTAACACCTTCATCTGACTTGTATCCACAATCATCACACAGCAACACCAGTCAAGAAGTAAAAGGCATGTTGCTTTAGGAAAATCTGCTCTCAAGGACCTCTCCAGATTAGTAAAGAGCACTGATGTTTGTTCAAAGAGTAAGGTATACCTACCTGATCCAAGTCATGGTATTTTCACTAGCTTGCTTTGCACTTGTTATGAAAAACTAATACAGATGACTGAAGAATTGATGCCTTTGAATTGTGGTGTTGGATATAAGTCAGTCACAAAAGGACAATTATGGCATAAGACCATTAATGTAAATAGCTAAGGAAAGGTTAATGACTGATGATGAGGAAAGAGTCCTCAATCAGTGCCTTTGAGATGTGGTGGTAGAAAAGAGTACTGAATGCACACCCATGTTTATCGAGGCTTTGTTCACAATAGCAAAGAATTGGAAACAACCCAAGTGCCCATCAACAAACAAATGGATTGAGAAGCTCTGGTATATTCATACAATTGAATACTATGCTGCATTGAAAAACAAGAAACTCATGAAATATACAAAATGGGTGACCCTGGTGGATATTATTCTGAGTGAAATATCTCAGTCACAAAAGGACAAATATTCCAGAGGGCCACTGTTGTAAAACAGGACTAATATCGGGGTTGAGGAAAGACTGAGAAAGAGAGGATAAATAATGTATACTGCATTGATAACAGATGAGAGAGATAACTATTTAAAAGTGATATATGATTAAGTTATTGTCGTGACAGGAGTCCAGAATGAAGGCTGCACAGTGGAGTGGACTTGGAGAGAAGGACTGTATAACAATGAAAGAATTTTGCTTTTACTTTTCAAAGAGAAGAGTGAAAAGGAGGAGAGGAGGTGGGCAGGGAAAAATTGCAACCA